GAGCTGATGTCGTGAAGATGGTGGACAGGGAGAGAGAGGAAGGGGTGAAGAGGAAGGGCCCGTGGGAAGGGGCTATGAGGCAGCACCCTGTGTCCCCCGTGGCCACCTCAGCGAGCTGCTCTGTGCCCCACACCGTGGGACACCCCCAGCCTCCTCTAGGTAGCCGCCGTCTCGCTGGTCTCCGGGCAGCCTCCTTCCTGCACTCACAGACTGGGATTGCAGACAGGCTGCCTGTGGCCTCCCCCTGGAGAGGGCCGGTCAGCCTCACCCATGGGAAGAACAGGCATTCCCACTCCAGACGCTTCCTCAGCGAGGAAGGCTGCACTCGAGGCCACCGGAGTGGTGGGCAGAGCAGGTGACGCCAGCCTTGGGTTACAGCCGAGGCCCGCGGCCTGCTGGTGGTGAAGGAGACCACCACCCCTGCCTCCCTCTCTCCTCCCCCTGCTCCTCCTCTTTTCCTTCCCCTCTTCCCCTCCCTGGCTCTTTGGAAATAAGATTTTCATGCCCTCCACTTACCCAGTTAAATGATACCACTCAGTGATTCCTGTGGAGTTGTGCGACCGTTCTCATTCCATTTCCGAACATTTCCTCACCCTGAGAATTGCTTTACTGCTCAAGCCTTCTAGACACACCTCTGCCCTCCCCATCTCTTGGCCTTTTCCCGTGTGTCTCTCTGTCTCTCAGCCTCTCTGTGTCTGCTTTCTGCCTGTTTCTCTGTCTCTCTTGGGTGTCTCTGCATGTGTCTGTCTGTCTTTCTGTCCTGCTTTCTGTCACTTCTTTCCTTAATGGGGTTTATCTTTATTGAGAGCAGGCCCGACAGACACTGTGTAGACTATGGCAAACAGGACAGTCTCCATCCATGTTTGTGTGGCGCACGCCTCACGTCCACCTGCAGTCTGCATGTTCAAGTCTGTGGGCTATGCTGCACCTCAGTGGGACTGGAGAACAAGCCGCCCCAGCCCTTAGGAGCACAGCGCTCAGCCTGGCAAGTGCTCAAGTCCTGTGGGAGGAAAGGCATTCTGGGAGCTGGATCTGACCAGTGGGGTGGCTGCTGGAGGCTGCTGGCCACTCAGGAAGATGTGCCAGCCAGGACTCCTGACCCACAAGCTTAACTCCATCTCTGAAGATGCGCATACAGGGTGACGCAGACCCAAAAGTGCCATGTGGGTTCAGAGTACTGCAGACTAACCAATCAGTAACTGGAGGTGAGACCAGATCCCGTTAGTTAATCATCCACCCATCTATCTATTGTTTATTTAATATTTATTGGGCTTCTCACAGAGGTCCAGCTGGTTGGATGGCTGGCTATCATGAGAGTCACAGTTCAAGGCCAGCCAGGTATAAAAGTTCACAACACCCCATCTCAACCTGTAAAAACTGGGAGCGGTGGTGTGCACCCATGATTCCCATGAAGTGTAAAGAGGAGAATCACAGTCTTGAAGACCCTAGTCAAAAAATAATAAAAGCAAAACTGTCTGGGGCATTGTTCAAATGGCTGTGTGTGTGCGTGCGTGCGTACATGTGTGTGTGTGTTAGCTACAGGGACTCATTCAGTACAGGGAATGTATCTTGCCTTTTTATATCTCCCACTACATGCTAAGCATATAAAAACGCTAAGAAAAACCATAGTATTTGACACTGAAAATGCTATATTTTATGTCTTTAGCCACTAAAACTTAGGAGCCAGGAAACCATTTTTTTAGCTTCTTCCTCTCAGTTGCCACCGTCATTGCGAAGTTTGTCAATATCTCAAAACAGCTTAGGAAGATAAATGAACAAACTTGGCCGTTCACTGATAAAACTCTTCAGAATTCAACATGACGAATGCCCTGTCTTGTTTATTGCTCAAATAAGCAAAATTAGAATGGATTGCATAGTTATTTTGAGATACACTAAGTCCAGATCATTTTCTTCTTCCTTCATCATTTCTTTACCCATCCATCTCCACCCTGGCGATGGCTCATCACACGGCCTTGTGGATGCTTTAGGACAAATGAATAAATAAAAAGGAGGGGACCAGAGGGAGGCACTGGCCAGCCCCTGCATGAATCTCAATCTCTCTCTTTGTACACAGAGAAAGAGGCCCTGAAAGTTCCAAAACAGCCCAGAAGGTAGTGGGTGGGGTCACTGGGTGAGCTGGCCCCTGAGGGCACTGCATAGTCCTCGGCCTGTGCAGAGGGGTCCCTCACGGGACTTGCCTGTGGGTCTGCTCTTCAGGCATCAGTCTTAAGTCACTTGGTGATATGTTTTCCCTCCTTGTATAAGCTCTTCACACGAGAGCTGATTGCCTCTGTGTATGAGCAAAGTGCCTGGGCCTTGCTCCTTCTGCGGGCTGCCACGATTCACCCAGCCGACAAGGACCACATGGGGCCCTTCCTGCTCCTTGTCCTCCCTAGCTCTGGAGGTCACGAGTCCAGTCAGGGTGGAGGTGAGGCCACGCTCTCGTCCAAGCCTCTCCCACTCTGGGCTGGCGGTGGCCGTCCTGGTCTGGGGCCTGCAGACACAGCCGCAGTCCTGGCCTGTCTGCACCGGTGGCTCCTCCCCAGTGCCTGGTCCTCCTCTCTGAATGCCAACACTGTTTGCTGAATCGGGGCCCGTGACTGCACCCACAGAGACCTCGCGCAGAGCCGTGGGGAGCTGGGCTTCAGCGCATTTGTGGGGTACCGTTTGAACTCCCACAGGTGGTCCTGCTGGCCGCTGGGTGAGAGGCCCGAAGCAGAAGTGTAGTGTATATGGCAGCGGTGGGTTAGTTACGGGAGGGAAGCTGGTGGATCATGACTGCACACGTGCAGTGGTGCCTCCTGGGCTGCGTGACGGAGCTGGCTGGCACGTCCACCTCACCGTTTGCCTCTGCTTGCCTGTGGTGCAGCGCTCGGCATCTACTCCTAGCAATGTGAAATCTGCACAGCATGGTCATGAACCATGTCTCCGCACTCTCTAGGAGGTCTTGATGCTTCATCCTCCTGCATCACGGACACAGCTCCCTTCCTCCAACGTGTCCCTGATGCTCCCCTCCCACCTCTGATGACCAGCATCCCACCCTCTGCCGACTGCCACTCAGCCTTGAGAAGGGACAGTCCCTGTGAGCACCATGCTCCTCATACATAATGAAGTCTAATCATTTCGATGTAAAGAAGTAGCAGTACTATAGCCTTGTGCACGCGTGCTGCATGTTGTTTGTGGGTGCATCTTGCTATATGTGTCCCGGACTTGAAGTTGCAGAGTTAAATTTAAGTGCTGAGGTGTCGCCTGTATCTCAGATGGCCATCCCAGTCTGACCCCTACCACACACACACACACACACACCCGTGTGAGAGAGCCTGTGTCCTCACACCTCACCAACCTGTGCATCACAACCTTCTTTGTTTGACCAGTCACCACCTCAGTGAGAGCTGACATTTCTGCTTGTTTGTGCTTCTGTGCTTTTCCATGCCTCTTTCCATGCCTTTTTGTGGATTGCTTGTTCATGTCTTTCATTCTTCCACCATATTTTATGTTTTTTTTAATCTTACTTTTTGTGTGTGTGATTTTCACAACTTGCCCACACACATGTGGTAAATGTTTTTCTTTCTCTCTGTTTCCAAAGTCATTTTCTGTTTGTGATGTTTTTGTCATGGGAAGATTTAGATGTTCCCTGTGGTCAAATGTATTCTGCTTCTTGTGGGTTCTAAGTCATTCTTGGAGAGGCTTTCCCAGGAATCTCCTGTGCTTGTGAAAGCAGCATCCACAGACTAGGGCATGGCTCAAGTGGTGGAGCACCAACCCAACCACATCCAAAACACACCAGGCCTGCTTATTCCCAGTTCAGCTGAGAGGTGCGCTGTCTGGCCCTCTCTTCTGGCTGCCTCCCCAGCCCGCATACCCTTCCCTGCGCCCCACCCCACCCTGCCCTGCCGTCACTTCCTGGGCTTCTCCCAGCCCAGAAGCCTTACCTCCAACTACGCATGGCTCTGATGGCTGTCTCTCCCTGAATCCTTTCCCCCTCTGCCTATGCCAGCTCCTTGCTTTGGTTTGTTGGTTTGCGTTGTTTCTGATACTTCCGATTTTCTAGTTTGAGCCCCTTTATGTCTACCAGCTTCACCTTCCTTCCTCCTGCTTCCTCCCATGTCTAGAAGCTTCTCACATCATTTCTTGCTTTCTCAAGAGACATTTACCTGTTTTCTCCCTAGACAAATGAGTGCGTTCACAGCTCTGATTCAGTGTAAGAAACCCCACATGATACGGGGTTCATTGGCAAAGCAGTCCGCCACTCTTCACGTGGGGTGGTGCCTTCCAAAATAAATATGAGAGTCACTCTTCTACCTGTTGAACATAGCCACTGTTACCAAATACATGGAACATTCCATTGTTGCAATAGTGTTATGAGGTTTTTTGCATGTTTCTTTGAGTATGGGCTTTATTAAGAACTTTGCATAGATAGGATTTTGTTGTCATGGTATCAGTACATTAAGAATGAAAACTACAAGTGATGTCCAGTAGGAGATAAAGATCTTCCCCCTCGATTCTCAGTCTGTGCCTCACCCCTACCCCCTTTCCCTGAAGAGGTGTCTCTATCAGCAGAAACAAAAAGAGGTGATCTCTCCCGAGGCGGCAGGCAACCTAGCATTGTGCTTAGAAAACTATCATCCGCCAGGAAAGCCAAAAATGAAAATATAAGTTGTAGGGATTTACTACCGTGTGGCTGTGCATTTCAATTTTTAATTTTGACTGCCCTGGATATTTTAAAAATTGATGTGTAGACTTCCCTGTATATTTTCTAGTGATGAATATTTACCATGTGGGTTAAGTGGTGATGGACCTATTTCAACTTCATATAAATTATGTATATCGGGGAAGATCTAATGGAGACTGAGTGAGACATTCCGCTCCATAAACAGAGACAGGCTCCTGGAGCTGGAGTGACGGGTGGAGGAAGACACGTGGCTGGAGGGTAAAATGAAAGCATTCTAAATTCTTGGTTCCCAACACTTTGCTTTGTTTCTGTCTGTCTGTCTCCTCAGGGACCCTCAGAGTCTGGACCCACCGGAAGTCAGCAATGCAAAGCTGCAGTATGCAGGGTGGGGCCCCAAGGGACAGCAGCTGGTAAGCAGGCCAAGTTCATATTTGATCTTCATGAGTTTGATGCTGTCTAGGCCGATCATTTCTCCCTGTACTCCTTGTACGTGTGTGTGTGTGTGTGTGTGTGTGTGTGTGTGTGTGTGTACACACGTGCATATGGACACGAACAGGCATCAAGTTTCAGATAAATACACTGGGCTATCTGAATGCGTAAAATGGCCATTTCTCTTTGGACAGAGAATTTTCATGAAATGGGAGGAGCATGCTACATTAACTTTCCGTTGCTGTGATGAAATGCCTGGGAAAACTGCTTCCTGTGGGAGGGTTTGGGTTCATCTTGGCTCCTATGTTCACACTTTAATCCACAGTCAGGCTCCGCTGGCTTTGGCCTGTGGCAAGACAGAGCATGGAGGAGGAATGAACGTGGTACAGCCACAGGGCTGCTGGAAGCAGGGGTGGGGGACATCAAGGCCATTGCCCTGTGACTCACTTCCTTCAAACAAGCACCATCTTCTGACACCCATTCCACTACGGACACATCCGCGGACCAATCCACTGGTGACATTCCCTTCCTCGTGATCTAGTCACCTCTCAGTAGTGTCACATCTGTGTGCCAAGCCCTAGGGACATTTTACCCCCCAACACAGGGGCTCTGGTGCCCAGAGCCCAACCTGTAAAGTAGTGTCCAGCTGTGCCTGGGTTTAGACTCTAGGTTTGCTGTGAATTGTAAGGATGAGGTTGACTCTGCGTCGTTGAACTTGGCTCTTGGGGCTCACCATCCCCCTGTTGAGGGTCTTGTGGAGAAGGCAGGCCTTCTGTCCCCTCCCAGCAGAGAACAGCACATGGGGGTCTCCAAGTGGCCTCCTAGTTCCACATGGAGGCCAGGGGCTTCCCCCCCTCTAACCGGCAAGATGGGCTGTGTGAAGCCCTGCGAACTTTAAGGATGGTGAAGTGAAAAGAGCCCCACACAGGTGGCTGAACAGACAGGACCCCGGTCCCCGTGCTCACCCTCTCACTCCTGGCCGAGGGTCTGCAGGGGTCTGGCCCAGGGACTCTGGGAAGGGTGACATTTACATGCATCCAGTCCCACTTAGCTCTGTGTTGAGAAACGATGCTGTCCACTGGCAGGCAGCTCAGACCAGGTGCTTGAATGTGGCTGCATTGAAGTCACGGTCTATGCAGAGCTGTCTATTCCCTAGCTATCATGGAAAATGGTTGGTTTTTTAAAATTTTGCATAGGGTTTTATTGGCTGGGCTGCCTACTGAATTATGAAAGAAAATAGCCTTTTCCCCTGCAGTACAATTATACTTCACTGGTCGCCGGTTTCTTCCATGGTCTTGAATTGGTTCAGAGGAACAGGAGTATATGAGCCACAAAAGAATTTTAGTGATTACTGAAGTGTCCCTACTGCTAGCAGAGACTTCAAGGGTATATTTAATTGGTCAAAATCTGGGTGAGGTAGGAGGGGGTCATGAAGAACCAGGATTGGAAGAACTAAATATTTGTTGAGATAAGAAACGCATGCATATGGGGAAGGTGGCTCAGTGGTAGAGCGCTTGCCTTGCATGCTCGAGGCCCTGGGTTCGATTCCTCAGCACCACATAAGCAAAAAGAAAAAAGCCGGAAGTGGCGCCGTGGCTCAAGTGGTAGAGCGCTAGCCTTGAGCTGAAGAGCTGAGGGACAGCACCCAGGCCCAGAGTTCAGGCCCACGACCAGACCCCCCCCCCCCCAAAAAAAAAGCATGCATAAATGGATTGCTTAATCAATTAATTTACATAGTCACATGTTCCTAAGCATTAAGCATAAAATGATTGGAGGGAGAGAAATCCACACCGTAGAACAGTGTGCCACACGGACACTAATGCCGAGGAAGGGACTGGGTGTCCAGTGCAATGTTCATTGCTAACCTTGTGGAATTCGGTAGTTTATAAACTTATGTGAAACTTGGGATTCTTATCATGCTTTTTTCCTCTGGGTTTTATTATTTTTAACTGACACGCACTGTACAGTTGGTGGGATACAGTGAGGTGTTTCAGTGCACATGGCCTGGCAGTGATAACCACATCAGATCATCAGCATGTCCACCACCTGACACAACTGCCAGTCGAAATCTGCTGTGGCTTTTGAAGGACACAACACGTTGAGGGTAACTGTCGTAGCCTCGTGCTGTGTAGATCTCAGCGCATTCCTATCTTTTTTTTTTTTTTTTTTTTTTGTCGGTCCTGGGGCTTGAACTCTGGGCTTGGGCGCTGTCCCTGCATTCTTCAGCTCAAAGCAAGCGCTCTACCACTTGAGCCACAGCACCACTTCCGGTTTTCTGGTGGTTTATTGGAGATAAGAGTCTCACGGACTTCCCTGCCCTGGCTGGCTTTGAACCGTGATCCTCAGATCTCAGCCTCCTGAGTAGCTAGGATTACAGGCGTGAGCCACCAGCGCTCGGCTCATTCCTCCTATCTTAAGGGCAACTTTATGTCTGGGAAAAGAAAATGCAGCATAGATCCACAGTGAAATACTTACCATTTCTTAAACAGCTACGATTCTGACATTTTTTATGAAGTAGGAGAAGCTGGAAGAGGTTGTAATAAGTGAAAAGAACAAGCCAGACACTTAGAGACACACGCTGTGTGGTATCGCTTGCATGTAGCAGCCAGCAAGGCTGATGTGACAAGTGGGGGTTAGAGCACTGGCTACCTGAGGCAGAGGACGGGGGGGGGGGGGGGGGGGTGGGAGGGAGGCAGCTTGGTGGATTTTATCTCAAGGTCATTCTCAATGACACGCCTCCTTGTGCTGGCTAGCAGAGGCGACGGACCTCATTGTGAAGAGACTGTCCTGCATGCTGCGCCAGGGGTAAGCACACTTCCTCTGTGGTCTCAGCCACAACCTGCCCCCTGCTGTTGCATGTCTGTGCAGATGTGGACAGTGTAGAAACACTGATTTCCCAGAAAGCCTTTCTGCAAACCTGGGCAGATGGTCTGGCCCTGTCCGAGGTGATCCGTGTCCTCACGGACATCATCAGTGGGAACGGCCTGGCGCTGGGGTCACCCTTCACCTACCCCCATGACAAGAACTCTTGGAGCCCACTCTGTCTGCGTACGAGGAAGTGCGTACTTCAGAGCAGACCTTGCACACATGGGTCCATTAAGTGACAGCAAGCCTCAAATCCCTCATTGCCATTTTATTCTAAAAGGTAAATATTGCTCCCTAAAGTAAATCTGCTCTAATGATAATGAGTCGGATCACAGCAAGTAATTCCCCTTGGGGAGCAGAGCGTGCAGCTGCAGCTCAAGCTCCCAGAGGAGACGGGAGCACCTTGCTGAGCGATTGCAGCCTTCCTGTGGCTCAGGGACCCTAAAAGTCACCGGAAATTGATGCATGGGATGAAGAGCAGTGAAGGGCTCTGTCCTTTGGTGAGCACAGAGTCCAGTGGGCAGTCCTCACCTCCTGGAGAGAGCCGCCTACAACCTTCATCCAGTCAGGGAGGTGAGGGTCACCTGCGTGGCAATGGCCACTTTGGAAGATACAGAGCATGCAACGGCGACTCCCTCCTCCTACAGCCAGGCTCCCCCCAGCAATGCCCATGGCTGCTCGCAGATTCCTCTCAAAAGAGTTGCTTTGGGCCCAGATTGTGACCTTTCTTCTGAGGATAGAAATGAGAAACACATTGGCCGGAAAAAATCAGGTCAGAGGAGAAACGTGTACACAGTGATGACCAGGGCCTCTGCTGCCTTCTGTCCTTCACCAACACCGGGCTTCTCCTACCCTGTCTCCTCCATCAGGAGCAGCCATACCCACCAAGATATGCATCACATGTCATGTTAGCTCTTCGACCTTCCTGCATCTTCCCGTCTGTGTGACTGCTGGCTGGCGGCTCTCCCTGTTTGTGGCCCCCACAAGTCGTCAGCTCTTCCGTGAGGCTGTGTCTGTGGGCTGGAGCTACGAGACACTCAGCGTTTTGGAAATGTCCCTTTGTTTCCATATCTGTCATTCCTAGAAGAGACATTTCGTCAAATGAACGGTTCTCAAGCCACCTCTGTAGGACTGCTCTCCGTGGGCAGAGGATTTGTGATGGGATCTATGTTTTCCCTTTGGAACGAGCCATGGAGGTGTTCTCAGCTATGCCCCACTGCACTAGCCATTAAGAACTCAGGGCTGGGCTTCTTTGAGATACTCAGAGGCTCAGAGACAATGAGAACCCCCTCTCTCTGTCTCTCGCTGTCTCTCTCTGCCTCTGTCTGTCTGTCTGTCTCTCTCTCTCTGTGCCTGGCTTGCTATGATGCTCATGATAAAAGAGCAGCTTCAGAGAGTGGATTCAATACGTCCTCTAGGAAATCTTCCACAGCTTAGGATATGAAGATGAAGAGCATGGAGAGGCGTCACGGGAAGCACCCCCGGAGCAGGTGGGGAGGCAGGCGGCAGGCGGCAGGCGGGCCCGCACAGGCCGCCCACGCTGCTTCCTTGGGTCTGCACCTGTCAGGCCAGCAGGCTCCGCAGCGAGTCCCCAATGGCAGTCTGAGCCCGGCCTTCTGAGCCCTCCTGGCCTCCTAGCTCCTTCCTGGGCCCCCTGTGATCGTGGCTGGCCCTCCACAGCCCACCTGGCATTCTGGCTCTTTCTCCTCCGACCCCTCACCTGGGGAGGAAGGTCCCCCCTCCCGGGTCAGCCGTCCTCCTCTCCAGGCAGCCTAGGGAGCCACCCTGAGGCGGAAGCATCCTTGCCCACCCGCGAGGCCTGTGCTGCTCACTGGGGTCCACAGCCTCCCCCCACTGGGCAGAGAACATTTTATTGAAGTTGACAAATCCAGCGAGGATAGACAGATTGATCTTCCCAACAAGGTTAGAGTATTTAATGAAATGTCATGTACGTGGAGAGGACCAGGCTGAAGTGACATCCCATTAATAACTTATAAAGGCCTCTAATCAGGTTGGGTTAATTTGGTATGCATTGTAAAAACATTTATCATGGTACTGAAGCCCATGACAGAATCCAAGAAATTAATATTATAGGAGTGGAAATCGCCTTATATAT